TTGATCAGTGCAGGACACTTAAAAAGTCTTCTGGATGGACTTGATTTGTGTTTCTGGACTCAAATCAATGAAATACAGTTCTTGTTCCAGGAAGGCCCCTCAAGGCCAGATTTGACCTGAGGCCTAGTTCACTACAGTCCCCCCTTTGGAAATCATCACCTGTCCATGGGGATGAATTCCAACATGAACTTACGCCTTCGAATGTCCCTGGTCTTGATGTAATCCAGCAAGGAAAACAAAAGTCAAAGGATGTAATCCCACAATGTTTTTGGGAATTCCATTGTGTTGATGGTAATTCCATAATGTTGTTGGTAATTCCATTGTGTCAATGCTTTAACCCCTTGGAAACAGAGTTTGTAATCCATTGGAAAAAGTCATATAATCCACAACGGTAAATCCACAACGAACGGAGGTGTTTATTGATCAGCATACAGAGGGGTTCCCTTGGATTGAACTGAAGATGCGGCCACTGGATGAAGAGTGGAGACCAGCGTCAGGATTGCAGGTCTCCTCCTGCGAAGGTCGTCGCTGGGTGGATGTCCAGTCGATGCCGTTCTGGTTCAATGTGACATGCAATTATGTGGTTTAAGGTGGGCTTATGAAGGGGATTTTACATAAGGCCTTAAACTATATGCACCTGGTGTGTAAGCTATTATGATTGGGAACAGCTACAGCTACCAGTTAAGGGGTGGAACATGCTGAAAAGGGTAGTTATAAGGATCTATACCTATAGAAGAGTGTTCCAAACTATTTTTCCATTCCTAACTTGGTTTAAGTTAGATTTGCATGGTAAAATATAGTTTGGTTCAATTGTCTGTTGTCTTTTAGACGAACGACTTGAGATTGGGTGTTTGGTTTCCCCATAAATGTTTTTGGAAGTCTATGGCGAGACTCATCAAAAAGAATTAGCTATCCCCCCGAATAGAATTGTTCGAGTAGGTTCGGCTTAAGCGTTGTGAGACCAATGTAGATTATGGTACTTAAGGTAGCATTAATATACATTGACTCCGCAAAGATTACATTTTAACAAATGAACTGCATGTTGGCATGGTTAAAGGCCTCTTAGTCTCTAACTTAACTACACACAAAATTCATCCTTGCTTGGGGTGTTCAGAAACAATACTAAAAACCAATTAAACGATGTCTCAACATCAACAAAAACAGTGACTAAGCAACCAGTTAAACAACGTTTCAACATTGACAAAAGCAGTGATTAAGCAACTAGAAAACAACGTTTCGGTGCGCCACTCACTCTGAATGTCAGATTTGAATCACGTTATCGCGTCTGGTAGCATTATCCTAACTGGCGTCACCCCCCTTCGGTCATGGGAGACCGCGAACACGGGTGAGGACGTCGCTCCATGAGCTAAAGTTAGGCTGTCCTTGAGTAGTTTTAACTGTTTGCGCAGCTGAAAGAGGACTTTAAGGTCTGGATTGGAATCCAGTTCGCCTTTCGATAGAGTGTATTTGTCTGGGTCAGACAGATACAGTATTATCGAGTCAATTGCAGGATCATCCAACTTCAGAAGTTGGATGATGTCTGCGTCAGTTGAAAATGACTTTTCATATTTTAAAAGAACTTGGCGAAGTTTGTCTCTTTCTTCATCAGATGTCAGAGTGTCGGCTTTGGCGACCACCTGTTCAATCTGTGATGAGACTGTTAAGGGTTCTTGCTCCGTGGGGAGCTCCAACGAATCCTTTTCTGAGTCGTCGGACCTGTCTATGGGTAAGACACCATAGGTTTGAGGTCCTTGGTCGACGTCATTGGTTGAGAAAAGAGCTATGGCCTGTGTTGGTTTTGCAAACCATACTGGCCCAGCTTCTTGACTCGGTACCAGGTTATCTGGGAGTCCTCCCAGAAATGGAATGCCTAGTTCAAAATCATGAAAATCAGGTTCTGAGTGTTCAGCTCATCATCGTTTGTGTGTGAGTTTACCCCCCCTTCGTCCGATGAGGGGTTGTTGGAGGCAACGACAGCAATGTCTTGGTGTGTTCCACCGACATCTGTAATGTTGTCATTCGCGCCTTCAGATTTAGTAGCGATCACATCACTACACAGTGCTCCAGGTTGGATTCCCATTTCAGCGTTTTTCAAAGTTTCTAAAAACCTTTGTAGTTTCTCTGTCTCTTCCGAGCTCAGAGGTGTAGGGCATTGTATCTGGAACTTTTGTGATTTTATCGCCTCGGTTCGTGTCGTCCGAGGTGGGGGAGGGTTAGGTACGTCTTTTGGGGGTTCCTTTTCGGACTTCCCCTGATAATATGGGTCCTCTTGGATCCCATATCTTTGCGTCCTACGCATACCCCATTTACGATAATCACGTCCATCCTCTGAAAGAGGAGCTTTTTTGTCCCAGCGTGCACCTTCATTACGTGGTTTGTTAGTTTGAAAATACTGCTTTTTCTCGCCTGTTTTAGGAGGTGGAGGCGATACACTCCATCCTTCCATTTCTAGGGAGTGGGGTTTAACCTTTATACCAGGAAACACCTCTATGGGCATCTTAGCATGAGAACATGCCTCAAACACATTCACAGCACACTGTTTAATCTCATTGATGGATTTTTCTCTGAAATTTGCCATAATTTGTACTGACATGCGTATGTCGGTGTGGAGATTTTTGCTGAAAACAAATTTAAAACCTTCTTCTTCCTCCATTCCGGTTTCATTTCTGTAACCAAAATAAGCTTGGAAGATTCTTTTGTAATAGACTTTTGGATGTTCGTGCTTGCCTTGCATGACCTTGTTTGCAGCTGGGAAACCAGCAGGTCCCATGCAGGGGTCGTACTCTCTGATCAAAGCTTCACACAGAAGGTTGTAATCCTTTCTCGTTGCATCAGGTAGACGCTCGATGAAGGTGAACACCTCT